TAGGTAATTTTTAGAATCTACTTAGTAATTTAGGGAAAGGAATTCCTTAATTTGCAATAGACCTAAGGGTACTGAAAGGCCTAGAGTCAAAATACGCTTCATAATTCACGTTTAGGATGCCGAGCAGCCTAAAGCAATGCAAATCTGACTGAGGTATTACAGACAGTACATATCAGTGGGATATCCGACTTAGGTGACCAATTGTGTTAAACTTCAGTTAAGTTATTGATTGGGTAACCTTAAAACCCAGAGTCATTTCTCCCAGCCAAAGAGACTGTCAAGTTCCACACAGCTCAGGGCTTGAGATTTGTTAAGAAGTTAGCTAATCCATTCAAAACAAAAGCTTCATTTAAATTACTTAGATTTCAACGCATTTCTAAATAATTACTTAGTTCTCAATGTAATCCTAAAAGGAAGTATAATCCTGGTATACTGCCCGGCACATGATTTAACTGAATTGAACCTTTGTTCCCAATGGGTTTCCCTCCCGCCCCACAGTAAATAAATGAATGAATGAATGAATGAATAGCATCAAACTCATCTCAGCTAAGCAAGTCTGGCAACTGAAACTATAAAATCAACAATTACCAAAACAAATTTTCTCCTAGGAGAATTGCTAAGATGAAACTGATCTGTATTATGTATCTAAAAATACAGAGATGTGTATGTGATACCTAGCCACTTAAATATTAATATATTTAATATATTCTGTCTACTATATTTCATTTGACAGTTTTCATTAAAATCTTGATTCATAAGCATTTAATAAAATGTACTGAATGAGTAAATCAATCACTAGATACTTTACAGCTTGGCGAAAATGGGGGAAGGCAAGTTATATCAGAATGCTTTGGGCTCTGAATAACAGAATACCAATCTGAAAGTCAAATAAACAATCTGAGCTTATGTTTCTCACATGAAATGAAGTCTGGCCCCAAGGCTGACGCCAGGCTCTCTACAATCTACTCTGCCATCCTCTTGGACTCAAGACGATTGCTTGCAGCAGCTCCAAGTATGATGTGCTCTCACAATAATGTCCCCAAGTAGGAAAGGAGTGGCATCCTCCTCATCAACCTCCTTCCTTTGGATTAAGGAGGAATGTCTTCCCAGAGCCTCCTGACAGAACATTAAGTCCCTTTGATGAGACCGGCCAATAGGAGGCTGAGAAAGGCAGTATTAGGTATTTTCATCCTTGGTGTTGTTGGGTGTGTGTATCACAGAGATGCACTGTTAAAATTAGTGAAACATTCAAATATGTTTGCTGTAGAGATTCCTTCCAGGAAGGTCCAAGTGGTTGTTACGCTGGTGATGAGGAACAATTACTTATTGTAGGTAACAAAACTGATTCCCTGGTTGTACCAAAGAAACTGACAGGAGTGGAGTGTTACTGATATCGAGTCTTGTGGAGAATCTTCTCCAGTTTAGAAATGTATCTGTCTTACTCTTCTGAGCATTTAATCATAACCATGCAATAAAGCAGTACTACTTTTTTAAACTGAGATATGTAATTGATATATTAGTTTTGGGTATATGACAGAATTATTCCATATATGTATATATTGTGAAATGATCGCCACAGTATGTCTAGTTAACATCCATCATCACAGATACTTACAAATTCTTTTTCTTATGAAAACTTTTAAGATTTACTCTCAGCAACTTTCATCTATACAATGCAGTATTAATAATATTAATATTAATAATGCAGCATTAATAATAATAATTATTGTCACCATGCTGCACATTATCCCCAGGACTTACTTATTTTACAACTAGACGTTTGTGCCTTTTGACCACTTTCATCCATTTCACCCACCCCCTAACCCCCAGTCTCTGGCAACGACCAATCTATTCTCTGCATCTATGAGTTCATTTTTTTTGTTGTTCTTTTTAATTCCACATACTCATGTGAGATCATATGTAGTTGTCTTTCTCTGTCTGAATAACACCCTCAATGTCCATCCATGTTGTCACGAATTATTTTTTACGGTTGAATAATCTAGTGTGTGTGTGTGTGTGTGTGTATGTGTGTGTGTACCACTTTTCTTTATCTGTTCATCCATCAATCAACAATCAGGTTGTTTCCATGTCTTGGCTATTGTAAATAATGCTGCAATGAACATAGGGGTGCAAAAATCTTTGAATTAGTGTTTTCTTTTCTTCCAGATGAATACCCAGAAATGGAATTGCTGAATCAAATGCTAGTTGTTTTTAATTTTTTGATGAATAAAATATTGTTTTCCATAGCAGCTGTAGCGATTTACATTCCCACCAACAGGGCCTAAGGATTCCCATTTCTCCATATATTTGCCATCATTTATTATTTCTTGACTTTTTTAAAATAGCCATTCTGATAGGTGTGAGGTGATATCTCATTGTGGTTTTGATTTGCATTTCCCTGATGATTAGTGATGTTGAGCACCTTTTCATGTACTGTTGGCCATCTGTATGTCTTTTTTTGGAAGGCTGTCTATTTCAGATCCTTCGCCCATTTTTTACTCAGATTCTGGTTTTTGTTTTTTTTTGCTATTGAGTTGTATGAATTCTTTACATTTTTGGATATTAACCCCTTGTCAGATATATAATTTGCAATTATTTTCTCCCATTCGGTAGGCTGCCTTTTCATCTTGTGATGGTTTCCTTTGCTGCACAGAGCCTTTAGTTTGACGAAGTCCCACTTGTTTATTTTTGCTTTTGGTGTCAGATCCAAAAATTCACTGCCGATACCAATGTCAAGGAGCTTACTACCTATTTTTCTTTTAGGACTTTTATGGCTTCAGGTCTTACATTCATGTCTTTAGTTTTGAGTTAATTTTTGTGTATAAGATAGTGTGGCTCCAGTTTCATTCTTTTGCATGTGGCTGTCCAGTTTTCCCAATACAATTTATTGAAGAGACTGCCATTTCCCCATTAAATATTCTTGACTCCTCTGTCATAAATTAATTAAACATATATGATGGGTTTACTTCTGGCCTCTCTATTCTGGTTCATTGATCTGTGTGTTTGTTCTTATACCAATACCATACTATTTTTATTACTATAGCTTTGTAATACTCATAGTTTGAAATCAGAAAACCTTATATTGGGTTGTCGGGGAAGTCATGATGCGTTTTTGCATTGAAAAACATAGAAAAATATGTCATGACTTTCATGACAACACCTCCAGCTTTGTTCTTCTTTCTCAAGATTGCTATGGCTATTCAGGGTCTTTTGTGATTCCATACAAATTTTAGGATTGTTTGTTCTATTTCTCTGAAAAATGCCATTGGAATTTTGATAGAGATTGCACTGAATTTGTAGACTGCTTTGGGTAATATGGACATTTTAACAATATTAATTCTTCCTATCCATGAGCATGGAGTATCTTTCCCTTTATTTGTATCTTCTTCAATTTCTTTCATTAATGTCTTGTGGCTTTCAGTGTACATATCTTTCACCTCCTTGGTTAAATTTATTCCTAGGTATTTTATTCTTTTCATTGCAATTGTAAATGGGATCATTTTCTTAATTTCCTTTCTGATTGTTCATTATGATTAGTGTATAGAAACAACAGATTTTTGTATAATGATTTTGTATCCTGTGACTTCATTATTTATTTCTAAATTTTTTGGTGAAGTTCTGGGTTTATATACATACACACACACACAATGTCATCTGCGACTAGTGAACAGTTTTACTTGTTTTCCAATTTGGATGCCGTTTGTTTGTTAGCTTTTTGCCTAATTGCTCTGGCAAAGATTTTAAATACTATGTTGAATAAGAGGCAAAGATGGGCATCCTAGTCTCAGTTCTGATCCTAGAAGAGAAGCTTTCAGCTTTCATCACTGAGCATGATGTTAGCTGTGGGCTGTTCATATGACCTTTATTATCTTGAGGTGATATGCCCTCTATACCCACGTCGTTGAGAGTTTTTATCATAAATTTTGTCAAATATTTTTTTCTGCATGTATTGAGATATGATTTTTATCCTTCATTCTGTGGATGTGGTGTTTCACATTGATTGATTTGCAGATGACATGATACTATAGAGAACCCTAAAGATTTTACCATAATACCATTAAAATGAATAAATGAATTCTGTAAAGGAGGACACAAAATTAAGATTCAGAAATCGATGGCAATTTTTTACATTAATAATGAACTATTAAAAAAATTAAGAAAATAATCTCATAAAATTTACAATTACATCAAAAAGAATAAACCACCTAGGAATAAATTTAACCAAGGAGGTGAGAGTTGTACAAGACATTGAGGATACACAATGGCTCAAAGACATACAAAACTATGCTCAATATCACTAATCATCAGGGAAATGCAAGTTAAAAGCACAATGAGATATCACCTCTCACCTGTCAGAGTGGCTATCATCAAACAACAAGTGTGGTGAGGGTGTGAAGAAAACAGAGCACTTGTGCTCTGCTGGTGTGATTATAAACTGGTGCAGCCACTATAGAAAACAGTTTGGAGGTTCCTCCAAAATTAAAACTAGAACTACCATATGACCCAGCAATCCCACTCCTGGGTATTTATCCAAAAACATCCAAAACACTAATTTGAAACAATATATACACCCCTATGTTCACTGCAGCATCATTTACAATAACCAACTGTAAGCCAGTTTCTGGCCTAAATTACCCCAAGCATGACATGCAAGAAAAAGTTACTGAACTATTAATTCATATCTTTCAAACTGTTGGTCCCTCTGGAACTATATCTACTTCCTTGAAAAAAGTTCATTCTTTTTTTCAAAGTAAGATGTTTCAAAAAAGAGGTGAAAATAATGTGTTATGATCCACTAAGAAAAAATGAAACTAGTGATTGTTTTTAGGCTAGTGGTGGTGGGAGGGGATGGGAATGGCTTTAATACTTAAGTGTGGTGGGAGGGGATGGGAATGGCTTTAATACTTAAGTGGAGTTCAGTAAGTTATTTTGTAGTTTTAGGGTGGGTACATCATATATAAAATGAATGAACAACTTAAAATAATTTATGAATAACCTACCAAATCCAGGAACACTTTTGAGACTGGCTTTGAGGCAAATTTTCTCCAACCTGAGGTAGCTATATCTCAAAAGACAATTCCACAGGAACATCCAGTCCATTCTTGTCCGATGATTCATGATAATGACACTTCTTTCTCCAGGAATAAACGCATCGCCTGTTATAAGCACTTTTACACCAAACATGGTCTCCAGCAATGCCTATGGAAAAAACAATATATATGTAACAATTTAAAATTATGATTTCCCATAAGTAAATTTTATCATGTCCTATAAATAAATCTTTTGATTTCTAATAAATAAGTCAAAAGCATAGCTATTCCCATGATCTTTCTATAATAAACCAGGGGAAAAAAAACAACACTTAATCTGAAAGAATGAGAATATGAAGGTACTGTTTCTGTTTTTAGTTCTATTAATTTAAGTTTCTGGCAGTTTCCTAACTTTCATTGAAATCTTCACAATATTAAGTTAAAAACAAAAAAGCGGAAAAGGCTTACAACAGGATTCCACTGTGTAATTTTTAAAAGCTATAAATATATAAGATTATTACACTTTTTTATGGAAAGGATAATCAAATAAAGTCAACACTGAGTATGGGACTGAGGGAACAGAAAGTCAAACTTTTCATTTTATACCTTTCTGTTCTATGATCTTTTTTAAACAAATACACATATCTGTTTACTTTAACACTATATCAAGAAAAAAAAAATAACTGCATTTTTACTGAAGTGCTACACCCCTTGCACCTACAATAGTGCCTGGCACACAGAAAATGTCAAATATTTGCTGAATTTTTAAATTAATTTTTCCAATGGCCAGCATTTAATATGTATGAAATAGTTAGAAGAATAGTATGTTATAGACTAGAGTTCTTGAAGGAAAAATAACAGATAATAAGAAACATTACTAATTTCATTCCCTATGTAAATTTTCAAATAATTTACATGTAACAAATTTACTAGTTAATATTTGACTTCACTATTATTGGAGAGAAAACTGGTCCAAGACAGATAAAAGATAAGAAAATCAAAAGTTCTCTTTGGCAATATCATGAAAACCTGATCAAACTGTAGCAAATAAGCTGTAGTAGAGTCATACAATGGAATATGATACAACAATGAAAATAAATGAACTACAGGTATCTACAATAATATGGATGACACGTAAGAACAATGTTGAGAGACAGAAGCCAAGCAAACAAAAAGAATATGTACAGTATGTGTCCATATATAAAACTGTCTAAAACAGACATTAATTAAAATATATTAGGGGTAAATAGACAGTATAATTATAAAGAACAACAAGGAAATGAGGGAGTAAAATTATAAACAATAGCAAGGAAAAAACTTCCTTCCAAGTCTGGTTAGTGACTACTTCTAACAAACAGGAGGGTGGTGATTGGGTAGCTTGCTGGAAGGCTGGCAATGTTCTATTTCTTGATCTGGTTGATAGTTATACTTTAAAATTATTTATTAAAGTGTACATTTGTTTTGTTAACTTTTCAGTATGTTACGTTTCACATAAAAAATCTATTTTTAAAGAATATGATACAAAAGAATAATAGGACTTCAACAGCCTAAGAATAAATAGGGTCAAGAAAAGACAGGTTTAGAAAGGACATTAGCCAAAGGAAAAGGAAAAGGTAGAAATGTTATATGTCCAAAGAAGTAAAGAGTCATAGAGTATTAAGATCTTAACATAGTAAAACAAGATCATTTGGGCTAATATAGCTACAGATATCCCACAGGTCCCCAATTGAGTTCCTTTCCCAGGGCTGTGACTCACTTCAGGTCCTGGGTATTTAACCTGGCATTTATCAAGCCCTAGAAGGGTGGCCTTCAAGAAGTCAATAAACATGTATCACTCTTGAAATTGTACACAAAGATATAACAATATGCACACAGGTACGTTGCTAGGCCTGTAATTTTCATTAGATTTTCAAGAGTCCATAACCACTCAAATAATTAAACCCCTACTCCAAAGTCTCCGGGAAGTTAAGTCCCTATGTAGAAGACTTCATGATGAACAAGATCAGGGCACAGTCCTCCGGACTTGGACCCCCCAGGAAGAAATACCTCTTTTTCTACTTGTAAGTGTAAAGGACCATGAACTATCAAAATAAACCACTAAATTTTATGTCTTGGCCAAGAGGATATATGTGAAGTCACCATACAAACTGAATTTGAATCAGCTCCACTCTGCTTTCCAAATATGATACACTTTTCAGATTTGCAAAGAACTGAAATGCAGGATACCCTTCCCTTAAACAAGAAAGAGAAAGTTAACTATTAATTGTGTGTTGTACTATAGAAGGGAGTTTCAAATCTTAAGCCTATGAACCCAAAGGCTCAACTCTAACCTTTTAAGTGCAATTTCTAATATTAATACATGTTTCCTTCAGATACCAAAACAGTCTTTTGCTTTTTATTATGGAAAATGTCAAAATAAAAAATTCCAGACTGTTTATCCAGGAGCATATCATATGGCATTCCTTCCCTTGTCATCTAGCACTCTATCAAAATGTGCCTCCAAGTTATATATAACCTTTTGGGCAGCCTAGATTTCAAGCTCACATTAATCATTTTTAATACCAGACAAGCCCTATCTAGTCAACATTATTTACAGCTCCCAGAAGGCAGAATAACAAATACACCACACAGAGATCAAGTTGTAATGTCTACAAAGAACTCCAGAACTCAAATAATCCAGATTAAAGACTGTAAAACAAAAACAAAAAAAGATACTATGATACTATTCTCATATTTGTACTATTTCTAATATAGAAGATCATTTTAGCAATAAGATACTAATCATATAAGATTTTATAAAGCTTTATTTCTTACATTGCACTAAGAGACACTCTTAGTTAGGTAAAACTCTCAAGGCTTTTACCTAATTGGACAAAGATTTCTCCTAGAATTAGAGCTATAGAATTTCTGAGGACCTTTTATATACCACAATTTACTACCTCCCAGTGTTCCACCCTGTATGAAAACATTAAAATGAGAGATTCCTCTCCTGGTCACATAGAATCAGTTTTGTCATCATGCCCCATGCTCTCATTTGTCATTCCAACGGATATTTATATATCTGAGGTAAGAACAACTCTGACATTCCTCATCTCCAAGTCTGCTTTGTCTTTTCCGACTCAGCTTGGGCCCCGCTCTTCAAATCCTTCGCTATTTAAAGCTTTGCAATCCTAAATTCCTCATCAAACACTAAGCACTCCTTTTCTTAAGAGAAACTTCTAGACAGAAGTTATATCTATTAGTCTGTGTTTGGTGAACACCTGTTTGGTTCTAGGACTGGAATGGAATCAGTCAGCAGAATGTAGAAGAGACCTGTGTCCTGAGTGGGGAGTTAGAAAATGATCTCCAAATTCCTAAATCATGATTTAAGGACAGCACTCCAAGTAATTTTCATAATCCCAGGTAATTAGTTAACAAATGGACAATTGGAAAGACTCAGTTTTGAGACGCAAAACCTGCTCTGGGCACATGCAAGTTTGATTCTGGCAGTATTATACTGAATAGCACTATCCCAAAATTAAACGAACAGAGACATGTACTCCCCATTATAGAATGTTCCAAGAGAGATTGGTCATGCCACAGACTATTCTAGATGGGATTCTTGCACACACAAGTAGGTTAGACTAGGTGACCTCTAAGTCTCACCTAACTCTAAGATTCTAAAAGATTTTACTGTGGTACCTCATTTAGCACAGAAAATGTGCTTCTTAAAAATAGTAAGACAAGAAAAATCTTGTCAATTAAATCATTTTAATGCACAAGAGAAGCTTATGAAAGAGGTCATTTTGTGATTATTTCTGTGAACAATAATTAGTCTAAGTGCATTTCTCTAACTTATTTTTAGTGAAAAACTATTTTTAACTGTTGGAGATTGCTTAAAATAAAGTATACCTATTTAGGAGAATATGATTAAATTCCTTCTGAATTAAAAAATGACCTACTATTTGTTCAAAATAAAAACTCCTTTAGCACCTTGTGAAAGTATGAAATAAGCAGTCATATGAGACACCCTGACAGTTTTTCTCCATTTCTTTGAGCAGAGTTTTCACCATCACAAAACCAGAACATCATTTTCTGTAACCTAGCTATAAGATTCAACTTCAGTACATTTCTTAACTGGAAAACTCTCCGCCTGATATTCTGTTACTGATAAGGCAGTGAGTTAAACAGCTAGGTAACAGAAGTTTTTTCAAATATGTACCAATCTAATACTATGGTGATGGCTGAATCTTGCCTACATATTAAGTTCTCAAGTAAGGTAATGAGGCAAACTTCAAGAACAGCTGAAATTACCCTTGAAAATCTCACAGGAAGGTGCCTCACAAGAGACTAGAACATGATCCCTAAGTCCAGCTCAGCTAGCTTTTCCTAAATGTTGGACCAGATTTCTCCAGCTGACCATCAGATTAAGTGATTGGTTTACATGTTAAACACATGAATCATACTCAGCACAGAACCACTCACGTTTCCCATTTCACCTCACATGAGGTTCAGAGGGAACCCTACATTTAACAACTTGTCTCTACTCTTCCCTCACCCTTCCTAGTGCATGTAATTGAAGTTGTATACGGTAAATACATATATGATGTAATTCTGCTGTAATAGAAATAGTACTAGTAGTAATAGCACTAGAAGCAGCTATGGTGGAATATGTCCAGTAAAATCCAGCATTTCTTCCAGAATAATACATTTTAATTGTATATATAACTGCTCAGGGGGAAAAAAAAAGACTACATTTCCCAGATTCTAGTACAGCTCTTAACTGTTCTTACCGACGGGTGAGCAAGAGCGATATGTGCACCTCGTAGTTCATCAGTCGAAAAGAGCCATGCTTGTTCTGGGCTTCCTCCCTCCCCACTGAACGCAGAGTAGGGCAAAGAAATGGTGGTGACCAACCCACTAGACCATACAAAGGAGGACAGTAAGCCAGGCTGGGTGGAAGGAATCTGAGTCCTTGACTGACAGCAGAGAGCACAGCTACCCTGCCAACCTACACCTAAGGATGAATAAAAGTCTACCTTATTCAAACCACTGTACTTTGAATTTTCTTTGATGATACAATTTAGCCTACTCCCTAAAACTAATATAGTAGCAAACATTTACTGCATACTTTACAAAGGCTATATTATTATCATCTCATTTAGCTGTCACAATAACTCTCTGATGTATGTAGACACTATTAGTACCCCGTTTTTAGAGATGAAAAAAGAGAAATTTGGAGAGTCTAAATAGCTTAGCCAAGTTCAAATGACTAGAAAGGCCAATAGTGAAACCAAATGTCTGGCTCCAATGTCTGTACCAATGAGCACTGTGCTTATATTGGCTCTCCAATATAAACCAGGTTGATTGGACACTGTAAAGTATTAGAGTTGCAATGATTTCTACCAATGTAGTAACTACAAGAAAATTCTCAAAACTCTGAAGGTTTTGGTAGAGAGGTTCAGCCAAAAACATGTGATTCATAATCAAAAGATTATGTAATGTGGAAAACTGATGACATTAAAGAAAATGAAGTGTAGTAGCAATATATGTCTGTTACCAAGAAATCATTTACCTCTAAATGTTGGCTTTAGAATTTGATATATAATGCTGAATCTGGAATGGATCTCAAAGATCATCTACTCTAACTTCATTATTTTACAGATGATGAAATAAAAACCTAAAAGAAGTTATGTAAAAGACTTGAAAAGAGTTAAACATTATTAAAACAAAATGTCTCTGGTTTTATTAATGACTATAAGTGAAATTATTTAACAACAGATGTAGGTAGCTTTTTAGAAAAATCTACTCATGATAGTTAATTTTATATGAACTGAAAATATGCTTATTTTACTTAATATAAATAAGATATTTTATGGAGAAATGCTCACTTTGTAAATAAGCAACTGACAGTGGCTAAGCAATACCATAAGTTGAATATTTTATATTAAATGGTATGTTTGCAGGCTTAAATCAAACACTGGACTTCATAGCTTTAAAGTTGATTTAAAAAATCTAACTCTAAGAATTCATGACCTGGGAAATTAACTTCTGTCCTCTAACAAAGGAAGTAGTTTTTTGGTCAAATGAAAGCAGAAAAGAAGCGAGTCAAGCTGTGTACATCACAACTTAGAAAGATATTTTAGGTAGAAGGACTGTTATCTTCACAAGAACGGAGGTCATATTTGTCCTGTTCATCATTACATCCTATCAAAATGTTTGGCACATGGTGGACACTTAATAGTTGTTGGGTGAATATTCAGGTATCCTGCTCACTTCTTTAGCAATAAACAAAACACCCTTCTATTAAGAAAGGAAAAAGAAATTTTGCCTAAAAGAATAAGGACCCATACTGATAATGTAGGAATTATACAAATATTCAATGCAAAGTATTTCCTCCAGGAAGGAAAATATGAAAAGAATAAGGAGGCGACTGCTGCTTCCAGCCCCAACAGAGTAAATAGTACTAGACTTACCACTCAGCTGACTTAAAGGAAAATATGGTCATAATGAATAAATAATCTCAAGAAAGTAATGAAGCCAACCAAGAACCCAACATAAATTCTACAATTTAAAAGTACACTATTTTAAATAGAAATCCACTATATGAAGAAAACAGCAGAAAAAAAGGACCAGTGAACTTCGTGTCCTGTGTGACACTATAAAAAAAAATCTAATATACATATAACAGCAGTCCCCAAAGGAGAAGAGCAAAAGGGCAGAAAAATATATGGAGATAATGGCCCAAATTAGAGAAAATAAACAGACTAAACTACAGATCTAAGAAGTCCAATGAACACAACAACATAAACATAAATAAAACTACATTTAGATATACCACAATCAAACTGCTAAAAAACAAAGATAAAGAGAAATCTTGAAAGCAAACACAGAAAAATGACACATTACAAAAAGAGAAGCAACAGTATGTATGATGGCTAACTTTTCATCAAAACCAATGGAAACTGTAAGACAGAACTTTAAAGTATGGAAAGGAAAAAAAAAATCAACCCAGAAATCTTACAGCCAGCAACACTATCCTTCAAAAAATGAAGGCAAAATAAGGAAAATTTCAATTAAATGAAAACAATTCAGCTATAGGAGGTCTCACTACAAGAACAGCTAGAGGAATTCTTCAGGCTGAAGGGAAAAGACACTAGATGGAAACTCTGATACACAGGAAGAATAAAGAAGGCTAGAAATGGAAAATATTTAAATAAATATAAAGGACTATATTTTTTCTTCTAATTTCTTTAAAAGACATGATTATTTAAAGCAAAAAACTTATAACTGCATTATGGAGTTAATTATGTAAGTAGGTGCAATTGACAACAGCGGCACAAAGGATTTAAGCATAAAAGCTGTTACAAGGTTCTTAAATTTTACATGATGTGGTAAATATTAACTCTAAGTGGACTGTGATACACTAAGGATACATTATGTAATCCCTAACTACGACTCAAAAAACTTATAAATTATATATATAATTTTCTTTCAAAAGTAGAGGCGAGAGAACACTGCACAACTTGTTTTAGGAAGCCAGCATAACTCTGATACCAAAGTTTGGGCAGTTTGACCATGAAGCCTCTTTTTGTTTGTCTATTCATCCAACAAATATTTATTAATATGTACCTTGTTCCAGGTCTTTGGCTTTTCTAGTGAAAGAGAAGGCTTTCTATGACTATTTCTTGCCAACTTTCTTCTTCCACAATAAGGAAATCATCTACTACCGAGACTGATTTTATTACTAATTACCAGTTTCTCAGAAAATTTTTTCTCAAGTCAGGCATTCCCTGGCTTGAAAGAACTCCAAACCTTTGAAACAATCAAGAGGTACCAGTGAATTTCTGTTAAGGCTCCATGGGACACTGACCAATTCCTGAAGGTTTTCCTATCACCTAAGGCTCTACCTAATGGCAGCAGACAATCTGGGCTTAATCTCAGCTGTACTTCAATAAATAACTTGCTTCTGTGTGTGACCTTGGGCAAATTACTTAATTTGTGAAAGCTTCTATTTCCTCTTCTGTAAAATAGGGATAATGGTGGCACCTGAAATGAAGCTAGCATCCTAAAGCATTTAGCACGGTATCTGCCAGTAAGTGGTCAACAGCTATGATCATCAGTACCCTTGGGTTTTTATTTTGATTTTTCCTTTTAATGAAACCCTCTAATTCTTCTCCTTATATTTGAATAAAATATGGAACCATGCCACAATTGTTTGTTATCTATCCGTATGCTGTCCCTTTCTTTGTGCTTTTAGAACAGACAGCTTTAAGTAAATACAGAAAAAAGTGGAGAGGAAGGAGGGATAGATAGAGAGAGGCAGGGGGCTACTTTTAACAGTACCACGTTTCATAAAACATATATCTGAATAAAAATTTAAAAACAAATTAACCTTGTAAGCAGGGAACAAATGTAATTTATAAAATTATTCATCACAGGATTCCTTTTTAGGTATGAAAAAAAGGGTGCCTGTAAATGATTTCTTAAAATTCAATTTACAGGAAACTTTTAAGAACTATCTACTTCATCAAGGTAGTACAGTTACCGCTGTCTCTAGAAATATTTCCCAATCCATCTCCACATGAGGGGTCTATATCATCAGCATGATATTCTCCTCTCTACAAACATCACAGTAGCAGTCTGCTTGAGGAGCAACAGACAATTCAAAAGAAACAGGTACAGAAGATCCCCCAACAACTGAAGGGAGAGGATTCCTTTCTAGTTTTCCTTTTCGGGGATTACAGTCATCAACTTCACCGTAACAGGTCATTAAACCCAGTAATACTAAGTTCTAGGTGTTGCTCAGAAAAAAAGAAGGTACAGAACATTCTCAGGAAATACAGCCTATTCAAGGGAAAGGCAGCTGCACACACATCACTCCATTTTTAGAGAAGGCACTGCTGATCGACCACAGCAAGAGAAAAGGATGGAAGTCTCTTCAGTCTGGACTGGAATCCTACAGGACGTCTCCAGCTCAGGATCAGAGGGAGATGTGCTCAGAGCAGTATGCACTGACTTTGCAGAGAATATCTGGCTGTCCTAAGAATCCACTACACATTTTGCACGCGCTTTTACCTTACAGATGTTGTTAACCTAGCCCACAGATAGGAAATCACTTTATTCCTAATTCCGTGGTTACTGGGAAGAATTAAATAATCACAACATCATCACAAGTTTAAAAAAGTTTATCAAACTCTTAATTTTTGTCATTGTTTTGTAAAATAAATGGAAATGCAAAATAAAATTATGCAAAAAATCTTCAATCTGTTATCTACAGATTTGTGTATTTTACTATATGTAAACCATACCTCAATAAAGGAAAAGAAAAAAAAGGAAGAAATTCCATTTTTAAATTATCTCTTAATTAGATATTTTACTTCAGGACATAAGTTATTTTTCATTTTCTCCAGTTTTTGTATTTCCCCCTTCAAATTCTAATGCACCTCATGTAACAGGAAGGACTTTAACATTTGACAAAAGCTGACTCTAACAGAGTGAAAATCAGGAGGTTGGGCCACTTGGGTACAGTCTCCTTCTCTGCTGTGTAACTTACCACAGGAAGCGTGAGCCAGGTTGCCACCAGGCGGTTGTTGACCCAGCGATACCAAGATGGGTTTACAAACATCAAAGGTAAAAAGGGACCCAGCATGAAAATGCTTCCAAAAAAGCTGCCCCAAAACAGACTGAGTATAAAGTAAATCCCTTTCCATGACACCATGATTCTGAAAGATATAAAAAAGATATATTTTATTACTATACATATAACTGCCCAAATTCAATTTCAGAATGATGCATAAAATAATCTTTAATTATAGGGCTACATAAACGGTTCTGATAAAGACTGTAAGAGCTTGAATACCATAGAAGTGACCCTCTCACATGTCCGACAGGTCTAATAAGTTGTCAGTATATTAGAAAGTAATACAGATATTAATATGTTTGATCTCCAAAAATAAAGCTGTCTTGTTCATGAACACTTTGCTTTTTATCTGTTTATTATTATTAACATAAACCTGTATATTTTCTTTTCCAGGATGTCATCCAACAGAAAAATCTGAAAATATTCCAAAGGTTTTTATATATTACTATAAAAAATAGACTTGATGAACCAAGAACTGCGGAATAGCTACCTAAGGGTGACTATGCCTAAAATTGACGACGATTTTACAGAGTGCACTAAGAAAAGCTTTTAAATCAAGAAATGGTAATTATTTACATTAGAATCTGAAAGTAATATCTTCGGTCAATGGACCTTAAACTGGCTCTTTATGAGCTGAAAAGTTAAAAAGAAGTCAAGACTCCTCACTCTCTTTCCTAAACTATTTACCAAAGGATTACAGTCAGCCCTCCATATCCACGGGTTCTACATCTGCAGATTCAACCACGGATTGAAAATATTTGGGGAAAAATATGGTACCTTATTGCTGATGTAGTTCCTATGTAGTAAGGCCTATGATGGCTGCATCTGTACTGAACATGTACAGACTTGCTTTTCTTGTTATTATTCCCTTAACAATTCAGTATAACAACTATTTACATAGCATTTACATTGTTTTTAGTATTGTAAGTAATCTATAGATTTAAAGTATACAGGAGAATGTGCGTAGTTTATATGCAAATACTATGCCATTTTATATAAGGGACTTGGGCATCCTCAGGTTTTGGTACATATGGGGGATTGGGTCTTGGACCTCCATGAATACCGAGGGATGACTGTACTTTTGGGAGTCCTTGTAACCAGAAGAACTAATATTGAGGTTTTAAAATAAACTGTTGGAAACACAGTCTAAAATAAATAATCAAACATTTGATTTTACAACCTAAACTATATTAGACCAAAAATATAGTTTACATCGATATAATAAAACTATTAAAAACATTAAAATTATAAAAAACAATAATGGCCTTAAAATTTACATACTGAAAAAAGGTATTCCAGCGATCAAGACCTCTGATTACTTAAAAAGAATCACAACAGGAAATAAAATTTCAAATGTCACGGTGCTTTGGAAAATGTCAGGCAAACAACAAAACAGGTCAAATCCCTTAACAACCCAGAATCAAGTTTACCTAGGTAATGAGTATATTATTAAATCTTTACCAATACTTGACACCATGTGTACAAAATCCTTCAAAGTACAAACAATAAATACCTGCTCAGAGCTGGTTTTTTGCTAGACTGTAGATCTGAACTTCTAAGAAGTGAGGGGAGAGCGTGTGAGCAGAGAACAAGTCCACTGGAGAGCACAGTCAAACCGTGTGCTCACACAGGACCCAGGATTCTATGTGTCTTACACATCCTCAGCTTCGATTTCTGAGGCCTCAGGCCTCCCTCTTTGCATTAAAAGACATGGGCAGCTTCTCTCCAATTTTTCATTTAACCTAAAGCTTCTCTTAATAGGAAATAAAAAGGTTCCAAATCCAAAATTCTCAACCCCTACTTCCTTTTATACCCCACCAAAAAAAATTCCTGCAATGCTGCTACTCTCTTTGAAATCCTGTAACAACCTTTTTCTATCTACTATTTGTTTCTGCCAATTAGCCATTAGGTAGCTAGCTGTTGAGATCCACCCCAAACTCCCTGATGAGCTGCATTTCACCGTGTATTCATCTATAACTGATCCCCACCCCCACATCAAAGGCTCAGGCATGCTTCTTGCTCACTTACTAAACTATCTCGCATTTGATGTGATTATAAGAAAAAAAACTATAGTTAAAGGAGCTTAGATATAATCAAATAAAATGTTTTCATTTGACAGTGATGAAGCTGAGGACCAAAGAAAAAGATGACTTTTCTAAATCCACATAAGCTGTCAGTAGCCTCAAATCTTTTCTGCCTTCTGCTGTTTCCTGCAAAGGGGCTTGGAATCAGAGAACTGAGTCAACTTTTAAACACGTATTTAAACATAGACTTAAACAGATATAAAGGGATGTGTCCCCACATGAATATACTGGAATTACTTAGACCAAGTCTAATCTAAAATTATTTTCCATCCTACTACTGTTTCTTCCCTAACCTCTCAATCATTTGTTCAATGATTCAATAAACATACAAAGAGATTCCTACTGTGTGCCAGGCACTGTGCTAGTCATTTGGGGATACAACAGTGACTGTGACAGACACACTAAGTCTAATGATCTCCCCATCTCCTCCTTATGAACTCCTCCCTGGCCCTACATTTAATCTACCCCCATTCCATAACTTCTTCCAAATCTCAAGGGTTTGATACACAAACTTGGTTAAGAATTATGCTAGTAGCTACACACTTATTTATAATAGCGAAAATTAATTTTAAAAACTGGCAATATCAAGTGCTGATGAGGAGGCAGGGCAATCAGAACTCGCATACACTGCTGGGGAGGATGCAAACTGGTATGGCTACTCTGGAAAAGTCTGGGCATTTTCTTCAATGTTAACTGTACACTTATGAGCAATCCCACTACTGAATATCCAGGGCAGATGAACTCTTATGTTGACATAAAAACCTGTACACGATTATTTACAGCAGCATTATTCGTAATTGCCCAAAGCTGGAAACAGCCCAAATGTTGGTCAGGGAGTGAATGGATTAAGAAATCGTAGTATGTCCACAGAATGGACTACTACCCAGTAATACAAACTACTGATCTATGCATTGCTTGGGTTAGTCTCAAATGCATTATGCTGAATGAAGGAGGTCAGACTCAAAAGGCATGATTTTTTTCTACTGCATGATTTCATTGATATGACATTCTGGAAAAGGCAAAACTGTAAGACAGGGAAACAGATCAGTGGCTACCAAAGGTTAGGGGTGAGGAGAGGGTGTGTCTATGATGGGGCAGCACAAGGGAAGTTTGGGGGGCTGAGGAAACTGTTTCCTGATTGCAGTGACGGTTACAAGACTATGCATTTGTTGAAACTCAGAGACTTTAAAAAGTGATATTTTTTACTGTATATAGATTAAAAAATAAGTTAAAAAATATGCTACATGAGCTTTTTAGAATATGTCACGTTCTGTTTCATATATTTCACAAAATACATGAAATATATTTTACATCCATGTGAACTTGTTTATTAACACTCCTAATCATCCCACAGTGAAAGCATTTTTATTACCCCACCTTTTATATATAAGGATACTGAAGCACGAGGTGGTTAAATAACATGTTCAATGTTATACAGCTAGTAAATGGCAGAGCTGAGATTTAAACCCAAATATAGTAATTTGGTGTCACAATCCATGCTCAGTCTAAAATGCTGTACTATGCTTCTTTTTCAAGAATAGATTACTTCTGTTATTAAACACACACTTTAAAACAATTAGTTTATAAAATAAAGATGTCACAATACTAGACCAAATTTTAATACCTCATGCAAAAATTTTTCCAAATTTCAGAAGTTCACAGGAACTTCCTAAGGAAACCTAGTGCCTTTCTAACGTTAGCATTCCCTAGCACCCAACAACGTACTCCTATAGCACACAAAACCTTGAGGAGGGCCAAAGACAAGGATCCCAGCTTCTGCTGGAAGCAAGTCTGGTTAAATTAAACATCTACTCTTTAAAAATCCATTAAAATAAAAAATAAAGGCCATAACACTGAGCATTACAAACACTGCAATTTAATATTCCTTATATAATACTGACGGCATTCTCCAAAAAAAAAAAAAGCCATTTGGAAAAGGAATAATCATAGTTTTAAAATGGCATATCCATTTTATTGCCAAAAACATATAGAGAACACTAAATGGTTGATCATCTTAAAAAGTTAGGACTATTTCAGTGTAACCTAAGACCTTTTCCTGTAGAACCACTTTCCCTTCAGTGAGTTAATATGCACTCTTACCCCACTAACTTCCTAGCTCATAATGTGATTCTGATGCTTGCCAACGTTGTCTAATTATCTGTGGTTCAAAAATGATTGCACTGGGCAGGCCGAGTGGCTCAGTTGGTTAAGAGCGCAAGGTCTGAGCAACAGGGTCACCGGTTCGATTCCTATATGGGTCAGTGAGCTGTGCCCAAGCTGAGCTGCCGCTGAGCTGGTGAGAGTGTGTGCTCTTAACAGTAAGGTTGCCGGTTCGACTCCCACATGGGATGGTGGACTACACCCGGCAACTAGACTGAAATTGACAATTGGACTTGGAGTTGAGCTGCACCCTCCACAACTAAGATCGAAGGACAACAACTGGACTTGGAGCTGATGGGTCCTGGAAAAACACAATGTTCCCCTTCCCCAATTCCCCAACACTGTTCCCTTCCCCAATTCCCCAACACTGTTCCCCTCCCCAATTCCTCAATTAACATCTTTTAAAAAATGACTGTATTACCAAAGGCAAAATAGAATACAGAAGCAAAACACAGCCCACCTGGGCTTCTTACTCAGCTGCGTACATTATTCTTGGAGTACGACAATGTGGGTGGATACTCTGGACAAGGATGAATGGACTCCATGGGGGATGCCTATAGTTCCTTGCTCAGGAAGGAAAACACATTTTACTTCACAAAATTGCCTTAGTTATTTTATTCACATAATTCAAATGTTAACCAGTATTTCTCTCACAGGCTAATACTGGAGCTCAGTATGTTAAGAAATTATTGCAATTCAGTGTGATACATGCTATAATAGAGGTGTAACAGAGGTATGCAACAGGTGTTTAATAGATCAAAGTGAGGCTAGATGAACACTGCTAAAAGGGGTTCAAGAAGGCATTAGTCTCTCAGAGGATGCTAGTTTGGGGGAGGGG